TAGCATTAAAATTCAGGGTGCTAAGCACCCTTAGCACCCCTGCGATTTGCGCCTATGGGTGGGGGGCTGCAGTCCACTAGCCTCCCCTTTAAATAGTCGCCACTGATTGGTTCCTACGTGTAAATTGATCCAATCGCTAAAAATGTTCGTGATTTTCAATTTTAATTTTAATGAATTTTGATTAGGTGGCTAATTTGTGAATATTTGTTAGATTGTAAGTTTTAAATTGTATAGGTAGGTACCTGCTACGTCAATACAATTATTTAGTCATGTGCCAAAGCCCAAAAGTATAGGTATAAGTAATGCTATATAGATACCTATCTATATATAATATTATAAATATGACATATTATGTTATGCATGCCTATAGATAGTTTATTCGTTAGCTATTCAAAATAAAACATTGATTTGATACCTATTATATTATTTTTATTAGGTTATTATGAATATTTTTTAATGGTTTGTGTTTTAAGTTTGCCTATCAACCCAACGGGATCAACTTTTTTCCCTTTTAAAATTTTCCAACATTCCTATCGATACCAAAAATATCTTTTCAACCCAACAAAAAATATTATTTTGTACATTTTATCCTTTTTCAACCATACAGGCTTTTTAATCTAATCAGATATCTTCTTTTCTTTCTTATTTGTAAAAAGCTTATTTATATCTTGTAATTAATGTCACTTAATCGTTGAAACTAATTGTAACACAAAGTTCAAATAATAAAAAAAAAAGTTTAAAGTAATTATAAATATATGCATTATTATGCACAACAAACCAGCAGCAGTAGGTACCTACTTGATAACACACGCATTTCATAGCACCTAAGTAGCTTCTGTATTTTAATAGTTGAGCAAAGACATTCATTATAGGGAGATAATATTTTTCGAAAAGTTATACTCAATTATCCATAAACATTCTTAAAAATCATAGAAAGAAAAAAATAATATGTTTATATCTATAAAATGGATAACTTAAGTATATTATTTTAGTATACTTCCTACATTAAAATATTATGCATAAGTAGGTAGGTATATGACAGATTATGTCATATATTGTGTGAGCGATGTGTGCGTTAATAAATGTGAAAAACGTTCTAACTGAACGATAAGACGTAACAATATGACTTTTAAATTTAAAAAGATACACACGCTACAGTGCATCTACATTTTAGTGATCCACAACCCATCCAATTCATATAATTATATGCTTTAYGTGTAGTAAATATTACGTTTTTCATTTTTTTTTAACTTTTTTTATTTGTTATATTGTGTGTATTTTATATGAATGCTATAATATATATTACGCTAGACAACAAATGTTGTAGCACTGTCATAAAAAAAAACCAAGCCATGTTTTTGCGATCACGTTTGTATACATTATGAAATATATAAATAGACCGAATCCACAAGATTTATCGAAAGTCAAAAATAATCCTTCCAATCCCCTCCCCAACAGAAGTATAACGCGACATGGGAATAAATCGGTTGGTGAAGGGCCAAAGAAAAAAATGAACGTCCAAACAGCAGCTCTGGGTATCCAGGATAAATGATAAATAATCTTATACAATACCTACAATGTTACCAAAAATTGAACTACAACACTATTGGCTTTTATTTTTTATTGTCATGCCGATGTAATTGATGTATATATATTTTATTTCAAATAGCTTACCCTGGCGTTCCTCGAGTTTTAAAAAAAATCTCCACCCATAGACATATCTCAAACTCTGTCAAAGTAGTATAATTAATAGATAGGTTAAGATTATTAATTTACTAAATAATTTGTAAAAGAGAAAAATGTATTTAAAAATTAAAGAAAATTACCAAGAATATCCTGAAAAACGTTTGGAACGATAATTAAAAATTGATTTAGTGCACACCCTGCAACCAAAACTGTTTTTTTTTTAATTAGAATATTTTTAATAAAATGTGTGGCTTCTTCGTGAGCTATCGCCGAATTTCACATCGGATCGATTCTATAATGCTTCCTTAAAACTACATACATCATGTATGAGAAATATAATATCCCCTTAGTACCAGCGGTGGATTTAAGGGGGCGAAGGGCCTCGCCCCCCCCCCCCATTGGCATAAGTTAGGTTTTATTAATTTTTATAATTATTTTACAATTATCTTTATCGTTATAAATTTTTTACAATATTATTATACCTAATTTAAATATAATCTTTAACAAATAAAAAAAATACACATTTAAAATTATTGTCTATTTGCATGTATTTGTTAATAATTAGTGACAAAAATTAAGATTTGCGTTTTGGACTATGCCCCCCCCCCCGCAAAAAAAAAGAATTAAGTCCTGGATCCGCCACTGCATAGTACCTACACCATCATATATTTTCTTAGTTTCATATGTTTGTCTAAAATTCATCAAACCATTTATAACGGGACTATTTCAAAAATATGTTATAAGCCTATTGTAACATTTGTAACTATATATAATATGGAGATACTATGTATACTGTATAGACACGTAATATAATACGTCAGAGCTTCGACTTTATAAATAATTCCTTAAAACAACTGTAGTATTGAAAATTGATATGTATTATAATAGGTAGGTATTTGTATTAGGTAATGTATGAATATAAATGCAGTAAATTAGGACTATTCCTACGAAGAACCAACGAATGAATTGTAGTTAAGTTATTGATAATATGCTTTGTGTTGTCTTACTTTTAGTGGCGCAAATCATTTTATTTTTACAAGGAACAAACTTAGAAATGTACAAGCCAGCGCCCATCCCCAATTGTTAATTATAATGAGTATATGAATTAATCATACCTACATTATTACCAGCTACTATAAGATCCACGAAAAACAAGTGTCCCTCCTTTACCCAGAGATTTACCCTAACCTTGATGGAAGTTCGATTCTTAAATATCAAATTTCAATAGAGTACCTACCTAATAGTGTACAGCAGTGGTTTTAACCATTTGAAGATATGGCCAAGGTCATATATATTTCAGTGAAAATTCGAACTGGGTCTGGCTATATAATATATTATATTCAAGTTATACGTATATTGAACTGGCCTGGAACGWAGTATATCGAAGTAAAATAAATCGGGCCGGGCATCACAAGTAAAACTATATTTTGGACGGGCTTGGACTTCAAAATTTAGGCCCGTGCAGCGTTCTTATTAAACCTAACCGTTGAAACAAAACGCAGGATGCGGATGAGACACCGCATTGCAGACCTTTTCGTAATAAATACGTCAAAAAAATATTTAACGTTAAACTTAGTTCTAAAAGTATTGTTTTTTCCTTTAATTAGCACACATTCAAATAACAATGGTGCTCAACATTTATAATTTATGTTTATTATTAACATCATATAAAAATAATGCTTGTAATAATCAAAATATTATGATTATTTGAATTATAAATCCATACTTGTTAAAAAGATAGATATGTCACTAGAYTGCACCTTACAAATTTATCAATGTAAAATATAAATAAAATATTTAATATCAATAGCACGTCAAGATTTAAGATACCCAACAGCCAGGACCATACTCACTCACCGACAAAATAGAGATCTGTGCTGAGCGCCCGTTAACCGGTGACCAACACTGATTATATGTAATATATATTACATATTGCTCAATTTCTAAATTTCATATGCATATAGGTATGGCCCAATCTTTTATTTTGACCTGGGTCATTTGATTGGTAAATCAAATGTTAAACGGAATTTGTTAGTTAAGTATGAGACTTGTCTAAAATTATACTCTGTCCAGCAAGAGAATGTGCCGCATGCCCACTAAATTTTGRTTTATCAATCCATTTCCACGCGATACTCAGTCATAGAGGAATCAGTTTCGATAGCAGGGTATCATGGGGATGCACAACATTGGTGCGTTCTTTCGCTGGACATAATATGTATATTCCAACTTTAGTTTGTAAACTAATATAAGTATTGTTAAAGTGAACAAACATTTTTTTACCAATAACTAACATTGAAAGGAATCTAACTAAAAGATAATATCACATATTCACAAGTACAATAACCCCCCTGTAATGAAATCCATTGATTTTTCGGTTTCAAGGAATTTTACTATACAGACATGAAGCGTAACATAAGATATCAAAACGCATAATATACCAAAATCTACAAACCAACAGTTCCAATTTTGTGTTGTCAATTTAAATAATAGAATGAATTGGCCTATTTTCAAATTTAAAAGTAAGAATATTATCAGTGTTATCAGTGTTATCCTAATTGGTTTTTTATAATCATAATTAAATTATAAAAAAAAATATCTTGAAAATCAAAAAAGAACAGATTATATTATTAAGTTTAAGTATGATAATTGGTCAATTCATTCTAATAAACTAAAAACACAAAATCAGAACTACCAGACATACATTTTGGTATATTACCTATACATTAGTAAGACAAAGACATTTAATTTTAAAAGATAATAGACGAAAAAGCCAATAAATTGTTATGAACTATGTTCACATAAATAATAATTATATTCAATAATCTATAATAAATTGTATATTATAATTATCACTTGACTTTAACTAAAACTGCAGTCTCCACTACATGGGCCACACTAAAATTTTTGTACATTCTAAAATCTAAAATCCCAAGTCTAAGAAAAACGTTTGTATCATTCATAAACTTTTCCTATAATACCCTTTCCTAACAAAACATTCTGTCTTATTTAATTATTCTTCCTAAATTCAGTAACTGCAGTTTAACATTTTTATATTGATAATTATTATCAATAAAAATATAAAATTAATCAAGTATTACGATTTAATAAGTGATTTTCAAAAATTAAATTTGGCCCTTTCTTAAATTCTACTGAGAACTGCTAACTAAAACTAGAGTGTAGTAATTTAAGATTTATAGACAATATTGCTATTGCAGTAGTTATCTTTAATATATTATGTAGAAAATAAAAATTAACAGATAATAAAATAAACATATTTTTATTGGGCTAAGTTTACAAGTATGGTTCTGGAAACTCAAAAGTCACATCCCTGCCAGTCAACTTTCGGTACACAGATGCAAATGTATCTACCTATAAAAATAAAACAAAATAATGTTATTCAGGTATTACGTTTAGTGAATACATGAAAGATATTTTATCTAGAAATTTTATGGTCAAAACTGGTATAAAACTATCCTGCCATCGGGATAATAGAACCATATCAATGATATGGTACTAACATCTCGGTTAGTTAGTAGATTTTTTTACACCAATTTKAGGAAGTCAATTTTTAGTGAAATACCTAATGTTATGTCAATAGACTAAAAAATTCAATAAAATATTCACTGATATATTTACAATAAATCAACATATTTTAATATTTGTCTGGTTAGACGCTAATTGTATCAATTTCAATCATACATTAGTAACACACAGACGTAATGAAATATATTCAAATTGTTCTGAGTAAATACTTTTATTCCAAATTTTTTACTTAAAATGAAATATAAATCACTAACTTATAAGAATATGAAAATTATATTTTATTAAATTATTTAAAATGTAATTGTTATAAAGACAATTAAGGAAAACTGTAGAGAATCTGGAATTATAACTTAGCATATTTCAATTAAGTGTAGGTTCAAAATAGATAAAATCTTCCTAAGGCTAAGAGGATTAAAATAAATCATTTCTAATCATTTCGTATAGCACATGGATAGAACTCGACAATTATAGAAAACTGGAAAGAGCGCTGTAGTGCATCTTAAAAGTAT